ATGTTGCTTTTTGAAGTGCGGGCAAGGACAGCAAGAAATCCGCTTACTTTGTGGTCTTACACAACCGAAATATGTTATCATATAACTTAGTATCCTGCTAATTAAATATTTATTTTTAAACCTTCTACTCAAGAAAGTAATGTGCCTCTAAACTTCATTGTCCGAATAGTCTTCAAAAAGTTTTGAAATAAAAAAGACTTGTTGCATGATTAGATTTAATTTAGATTTATTAGATAATATTAAATTAGATTACATAAGATTAATTAAGATAACATCTCATATGTCATAATTATCATATCTCATGATATGAGATATGTCATATCTCAAAATGTCATAATTACATGTCTTATGTCAAGATGATAAAATTGCATGAATTTTTAGGACATCCACTATCTTTGTGTTTTTCCTCTGATATGACACAATAATAGATGGACAGCTGAATGCTTCATATAGAAACACCAACTAAGCAGAATTAGTACCATACATTTGTAAATTATTCATTTTTTTCCTCTCAGATATCAATATAAACATTTTTCATAACGTAAAATTGTCAATAAATGTCATAATTATATGTCTTATGTCAAGATGATAAAATTTCACGAATTTTTAGGACATCCACTATCTTTGTTAGTGGCAAAAGGCACTTCTGTTTGTGCCCTGGGGTTTGTGGTATGCAGTAGTGAGTGTTTTCTAAGATGTCCAAAGTGTCGGTGGTATCATCTTAGAATAATGCGGAGAAAAAAGTGGATAGAGAGACCTATCTTTTTGTTTTGAAGGGCTGAAAATGGACAGGAGGATTGCCAAAGAAGGTAAAATAACTATAGAAAGGGAAGTAGGAAAGAAAACGAAAAGACAGACAGACCAGTTGACACTAGTAAAGTGACAGTTTTGCTAAGGAAGTTGAACTGGTACCTAAAGGGCCTCCTGATTTTGCCTGGAAGTGCCAACTGGCTACTAAAAATCACAGGAAATAAATTTTGGATTGATTTATTATCAAACTACTTCAGAATTTGATGGCTGTTTGAAATTGACACTGCAACTGCTGAGTTGTAGGCGTAGGGTTTGTTTGACCCTTCTGAATACTTCGTGTTCTCTCAGATTTCACTTATTGATGTTGAAGTTCACTGAATGATCTGAATCTTTTTTTGAAAAACAGATATAGAGTCTTTAAAACGCATTACTTAATTACTTCAAAATTACATTTCAATATTAGTTGGTGATGTTAGTGTTTACAACAGTAAATTTGATTCCACCGCTTCCTCTTTGAATTCATGCTCAATTGCTGAGTTAGAATTGCTTGAAGAAGACAGTACTTCCAAAAATTTTTTAAATATTTGGGGGAGATCCCCTTCCAATTCTAATTTGTTTAAACATTTCTGAAATTCTCATTTCTGAAAATGTATTTGAGGAATATTTCTAGTATGTGTACAGCTTTTGGTGTTTTTGTATTGAATTTATCACCAGCAAAGACCGAAAACCCAAGGGAATTTATTTGGGAAGCATTTTGAGTAGGAAGGGGTGGAAGCTACAGCCAGATGCGTAGGTAGGAAATGAGGCTTGTTTCTCCTTACAGGACAGTTTAACTATTTATGGTTCTTCATTTTCAAAAATTTTCTAAGATTAAATGAAATGTGCTCTTTTGCTGTATTGAACTTATTCATTATAAATGATTCACTAAAGTCTAAACTTTTTGTGCTTTGAAGCAAAGGAAGTTGAAACTTGGCAAGAAGAGTCTTATCTTCATGATGAAAATCCATTTGGACATCTTGAGTTCCTGAACAATTCCTCATTGCGTGCTCTGCGTAGGGCTTTAACAGTTAATGAGTAGGTTTTGTGAGTAGCCTTCAGTCCGGAGCTGTGGAAGCTGACCAGAATAATTTCTTCTGGCAGCTCGTCCTCGATTGCTGTCATCTGCTAGGGTATCAGGTGTTAAATCTGAGAGCTGGACGATGCTGACATTTGATGCCAAAGCAACATAGAAAAGGACTGGACGTGCTTGTGCTGTGGTTTGCCCAAAGCTTTTCTCTCTTAGTTTCAAACGGTTGGAAACCACAAGGGAAGGGATCATCCTATCCCTCTAATGGGTGCTCCAGAAGGAAAGAGGTGTCATGTGCCTCAGAATACAGTTGTTGGTCACACGGCCATTAATTACCTGAGCACCTATGGAGGGTTTTATGCTTTTTCCATGGCTGAGATGCTCTGCGTTCCTGGCTTCCCAGCAGGAGCCCCAGCTGGTGCTTGGGTAAAAATGACGCTCTGGCTGGTCTGAGCTAACCAGGCAAATATGCTAAATTTCTGTTGAATTTAGAGTTTAGACAGTCCATTTATTTTAGTAGTGGTACTAAGTATTCATAAATTTGCATCCTTCCTTTTTAGACAGTTTCTCATGAAGATTATAGGACATAAACGTCTTTGAGATGTTACCGTATCTTGTTGAAATTGCACAGTGAGTCCAGAAAGTATTTGGTGCTGGAAAAGGCATGAGTAGAGGCAAATATAGGTAGCATAGTCACATGAAACTTGTTTCCTTGTTTTCGGATATGACATTAAACAAAATTCAAGTTACGTATACAACATGGAAGGGTTTAGCTTTGATGAATGCAGATTGTCTAGGTTAATGCATATAAAAGTGGGCTTCACGGTGGAAAATTCTGATTTTGAATGCACTCAATGTTCCATAGTGATATGAGAGAAATGTATCAGCTATCGCATCCTTCACTTTTAGACATAAAGAGTGGCAGAGAGGTAGAGGTAAGAGGAAGCTACTAGTTTGGAGAAGTCTTGAAAGATCTTGAAAGATTTGGGGCCAAATTGTGAACTTTTTTTTTTTTTTTTTTGACTTTACTTTGACCAGCATCAGACTGCTGCTCTGCTGCTACCAAGATCTTGTAATCTGGCCTTTGGAAGAGGCAGAGGCAAGAAGAAAGCAAATACTTGTTGGCTGCAACACAAGGGGCTCTGAAGTAATTTATAGGAAGTACCAGAAAGCAGAGCCAAGACTGGGAAATGCCTCCTGATACTCTATCTGCTTTTGACAAATTCATACACTGTTTCTGATAGAAAACCATAGATCAAAGGGGATTTTCAGCTTTAAAGAGGCTTGTCTCAGGAAAGATTGGGCATGAGCGTGTTTTTTCAGACTAAAAGTGGTAGCTGGTCTTTAAAACAGCTAAGTTATTAAGTGTTGTGGTGACAGATGCACGAATGGATTGCAGCAGAGCTCCCTTTGGCCTTCCTCCGCGTCAGGAGAAGGATGGACAGGCTCAAATGCAGAAGATGGGTTAAATTTTGCTAGGAAGGTGTGCACTGAATGTGGGAACCTACTTTCCTGTGGCAATTGATTTCACTGCATGCTGTGTCCTGCTGTATGATGGTTTTCCCTTCCCACTTTGCGAAGTGTTGTTCATTCAAAAGTAATTTTAATGTCTTCCCAAACTCTTAAATACATATATGGTACAGATATGCTGTAAAGCGTCCAGTTACCAAATGGTTTTCTGTGCCCTACCACATATATTTCAAAGTCAAAGAATTGGAATAGGCACAGTGGACTAAGCACAATTATCAGGTTTAATCCTGAATTTTCTGTTTCCTAACATTTTTAGAAATACTCTGTTTTCCATACCAATTAATGTATGTTAAGGGTTGTTCTTTTGATTGTCGTCTTTGAGAGATGATACCAAAAGCTAATGAATTCAGCCTTTGGAGATTGTATTAAGTACCTTTAATGTGTCCACTGTCTTGAAACATTTACTAAAACGTTTTTTAATTTATTAATCCGATATTCCGTAACAGTTTCCTTGCGTAATTATGGACTTTGGCACTGAGTCTCCGTTACATATGCAAGGAAATGGTTCCATAATTACCCTAATGCTTGCATAATTAACAAGGTGCTTGCTAATTTTAACAGGCAAATTCCAAGCCGCTTTTGCACAGGGGGAAAGAAAACACTGAGAGCCGTAACTTCTGTTGGTTTTTCCTTTCGCGTTTCGTACAGGTGTTGAAACGGCCTCTTTTTAATTTGCGGGGAGATTTATGTGCTTCTCTCTTC